TCTATTTCGGCGGGTTGCAAATCAGCAGACGGGGCACAGACGCCATAGCTGCCGGAGCTCGAACGCTCATTGGTCAATGCCGCTGCCAATCATGCTCCCTGGAAGCGCTTATTCGGTGAGGCCTCTGTCAGTCATGTTACGTCAGAGTAAAAAGGCGGAATATCCGGACTCCGCAGCTTAAAATGGTAGGACGCGAACAAAGCTTCCAGGTGCCTGTTTGTCACGTAGTATTATTGACAAAAAACAAGCAAAGGAATGTACTTGCTTTGGATTTGTTATATTGAAGCGATCAAATAAGATCAAGTCAAACATACTGTGGATTAAGTATCTGTTTCCTTGCCATGTAAATAAGTTTTCATGTTCAAATAATAGGTGACCTCTTTGCACTACAGTATATTGATCAACACTTACTGTTTTCTTGATAGATAAAGAAACGATCAAATCTCCATTCGTGGACACAGGATGTGTTATTTTTGTAGTTCACTACTCATTTTCTGCACTAGATGGCTGTATTTCTACTTAAATGGCTTTGGTTCACTATCTCTAATGATCTCATTAGATGCTGCCCATCCCAAAGCTGTAATGTTTATTTGCGTTTTCAGCTAGTTGGACAATTAGTCTTAAGCGCTTATTATTAAAAGCAAACCCATTATCTTGATAATCTTGCAAGTGGTAGACAGAAAGAGGAGACCAGGGAGCTATTAATGAGAGTAATTGTTTAGAGATGCATCCGTGGTAAGAGAGGTGGTGTCTCACCATTTTTGTTGCTGTCTCTTGACACACAGAATTCATATATCTGCCCATTATCTATAGGTCACAAATGAAGTGTCAGCACAGGAGGCGTAAAGGGACCAGAGATGGAGAGACGTATGGAATATGTGCTGGAAAAGCACAAATATATCCTTCTTCAGCAACCTCTGCATCAGTGTGTCAGGTCAGATTGACATATAAATCAAAGGTCTGCCAGGACTCATTACTTATGGTCTTTTTATATGCCAAAGCCATAAATCTTGCATGTTTTAAATGCATAAAATTAAAGACTTATTATGCATTTTTGAAACCGAAGTTTTGGCTTATTTTAAAGGAGGGGTTTATTCTTTTTCTTTTTCTTTGATCAGCAGACAAAGGCTCTCTGTGGTGCTCTTGTGTATAAATGCAAAGAGATTTTGAATAAGCTGCAAAAATGAATGCAGTTGAATGGGCATTTGTAATATATTTGCTCTATCTATCTATCTATCTATCTATCTATCTATCTATCTATCTATCTGTCTGTCTTTTCTATATATCTCAAGCATGTCTGTCTGGCTTTTCTATATATGTCAAGCATATTTAACTGGTCATTTCAAAGCCTTAATGGAGCAAATCAGTTTCATTCTCATTCTAAACTTCTTTAATGTGAAACAATATTGATGTTTGGTACATTAGCAAATGTTGTTGAGATCCTCCATTAACAAGCCTCAATAAGGCTGCTCGCATCTTCGACAGCATGCACCACTTCAAACGCTATTTTACAACAGCATCCAGAGTGCCTGCGGCAGCCAACGCTAAACGTTCTGCTGTTGTCCCACTGCCAAACTCTGGGGAGGGATACGGATAGAGCAAGCCAGGAAGTCTGAGTGTTTAAGTATTCAACTCTAAATATTTAAATGAATAAGGAAGTCTGTGTCATGTTGGAAATTTGAAATGAAATTTATAAATGTAGAACACACAAGGTTTGTCTTCTTTTTTATGTGTATGCTGAATGCTAAATTTGACAATAAACATAACAGAGTTTAATTATGTATAAAAAAAGCTTCAAAACATGATGCAATATGACTGGCGTATTAGTTCAGACCTGTCTAAATAAGCCAGATAGTTGATTTAAATATCTAACACTAATATCTCACCTTCATGCTTTGCTCTTTGGTGTGATTTGTCACTTGTATTCATTGCCTGAAAGGATTAGTTCATCAAAAAACAAATCATGATTTATTCAACCAGTAACACTTTAACTGTCAATGAGCAGATACAGTATTTAATCTTTGTTAACATTGGTTAATAAAATTACAACTTGTTCATTGTCAGCTCAGGTCCATTAAGTAACATTAACAGATACAACTTTTTATTTTAATAGTTTATTAACTAAGATATAAACTAAGATTAATAAATGCTTAAGGAGTGTTTTCATAGTTAGTTAATGTTAACAAATAGAACCTGTTAAAGTTTACCATTCATCCTTGTTCCAAACTAATATTACTTTATTTTTTTCTGTGGAATTTAAAAGGAAATATTAATGCTGCTCTTGACCTTCACAATGAAAGTGAATAGTGACCTGTCATTGTCAAGTTAAGCCTCAAAAATGACAAATAAGACTTAATTAAATATGTACATATATGTGCATGACCTGGAATATAGCACTTGGGTCTAAAGGCCCACTTTTATTTTAATTCTTGTCACATTTTGGTGCATGAGATCCACTGGTCATCATTCACTTTCATTGTTAGAAAAATATTCTTCAACATATTATCTTTTGTCTTCCATGGAACAAATAATACACAACATAAGGGTCAATTTTTTTTTGAAAACTATTACTGTAATAACTGTTAATAGTATGTGGAGAAGAAAAAAAAGAGAGTCTGATTCCTTCTTTCTTATCTGTTTCCATACCAACTGGGTGGGGATTGGCTGCTTTAGAGGGGGTTAATGGAACTGAGAGTTGATGCCTCTGGGTAAAGACAGTTATGATAGTCATACAGAGCCCCTAAATCTGTGTGTGTGGATTTTTGCGTGGCTGTATAAAAAAAGAAAGACTTTGCAAAGCATTATGACTCACTGATGTATTTGTTGCCAAGATAAAACATACATCTCTTTTAAAATCGTCCGTTTTAATGTCAATTCTAAACAACACCACTTTCAGGTTCTTGCTCTCTCTTTTTACCCCCCCCCCC